CTCAGATAATTCAAATACTTTTTAATAGTCAAATTCATCGTAAACTAATGTACGCTTAACCTTTGACGTGTTGACCACCGCCCACAGTACAATCTTCAATATAGTCTGAGAACTTTAACTTTTTTTTTTAATACGTGATTAGCTCACCAAGGCACAGGTCAATAACCCACATTAGGGCCTGGAGGCGAAAATAATAATAATAATAATAGTAATAATAATAATAATAATAATAATAATAATAATAATAATAATAATAATAATAATAATTAATACTAAAAATTTTTAAATAATAAATAATATTTAATAAAAATATAATAATAATAATAATACTAATACTAATAAAGGACCATAAAAAAGCATAATTTGCTTCAATTGATAATTGAACATATCACTGTTCTTTTAACTACAGTATTTCCTTACCGTCCATAATCATACAATACTGAATATGAGCAACAAAAACAAGCATGTGAGTACAAACGATGTCGGACAGAATCTCACCACAAAATATAAACTTAGTGGGATAGGTATACATACATACATACATACATACATACATACATACATTATATATATAAATAATAATGGTTGCCCCTCGTGTAACAACCACACCCTGAGTTAACGAGCCGAGTGACCCAGTGTCAAGGACTAGTCCGAGAAGACCGACAACTCGCCAGGCTCCCTGTTACTGCTGGGTAGACAGAGGCAAATGGCGTAAAAAAACTTGCCCACAGTTTCACCCTGCCCGGGGACCGAACCCGGGCAGGGTGACAGTCACACAAACCGAAGGAAGTATGACTGTCTTGGGGCCTGAAGGTGGTATGCTATTACTATACTGTATATATGCGTGTATGATCTCAAGAATATACCTATGTGTATATGTTTATATGTGTATGTTTATGTGTGTATAATCTCTTGAATATATGTGTGTATGTTTAGGTGTGTATTTGTGCGTATGATTTCATGAATATACGTATATGTGTATGTTTATATGTGAGTGTTTGTGTGTGTGTATACTCTCATGAATATATGAATGTATAAAATTGGTAAAAACTCAAGTGTCATATTTGTGTGCCATATCTCTTGAGACTTTGTACTTACCACATTAATGAGATTCTATTCTTAATAATAATAATAATAATAATAATAATAATAATAATAATAATAATAATAGCTAACCTAGAATGGAATCTTATTAATGTGGTAGGTAAGAAGTCTTAAGAGATATGGCACACAAATATGACACTTGAGTTTTTACCACTGTTATAAGACACTGTACATCTGTGCATCTCAGGGTATTATTTGACTTACACTTCATTAATGAGTTAGTGTAAAGCGTGGAATCTGTTAGTGAAGTTTATGCAGTATTATGGTTGAGACTGTGGCAACTACCGCGGGATCTCGCTGCTGTCCGTAGCTGGCAAGATTATTTCCCGAGTCCTTCTAAACAGACTTCTTCCTGAGGCGGAAAACTTCCTCCCTGAATCTTAATGTGGCTTTAGACCATCACGTGACACCACTGACATGAGCTTTGCTGCCCGCCAGATACAGGAAAAGTGCAGAGAACAGCGTCGTGACCTGTATATGGCCTTCATCGACCTTACTGAGACCTTCGACTCGGTCAACAGGGAAGCCTTCTGGCGAACCTTCAGCCGTTTTGGCTGCCCCCCCAAAATTCATCGCCATTGTGAGGCAACTCCACGATGGCATGAACTGCAGTGTCCTGCACAATGGCACCCAGTCTGAGTTCTTCCCCATCCAAACGGGGGTAAAACAAGGATGTGTACTGCCACCAACTCTCTTCTATTTCTTGGCTGCGTTTCTTAGTCGTGCCAGTGCCAATTTAGCCGGCGGGGTGAACATCGAGTGCCGGATGAAGGGTCTTTTCAACATAAGACTACTCCAGGTAAGAGCAAAGGTGTCGGCAGCTTCCATTACTGAACTTCAGTATGCAGACGACCTTACCCTTGTCGCTCACACTGAACGCGACCTACAGGAGATCCTGAACTCCTACGCAGATGCGTATGCACACTTCGGCCTTGAGGTGAATGTATGTAAGACTCAGATTCTTTTTCAGCCTGCCCCTGGTTCAGCCACACCTCCACCACCCATCCAGCTTAATGATACTACCCTCTCTAATGTTACCCACTTTCGGTATTTCGACTTCCACCTGTCCACCACCGCGGACATCGATGGAGAGATTCAACATGGGATCTGGTGTGAGTCTCAAGCCTTTGGCAGACTCCGCACCCGTGTCTTCAGCTGTAGGGAGCTGAAATTATTGACAAAGTTGCACGTATATCGAGCAGTGGTCCTCCCCACCCTGCTATATGGCAGTGAGACATGGGTCACACACAGGAGGCACCTCAAGGCATTTGAAAACTTTCACCAACGTAGTCTACGTTCCATCCTTCGAGTTCGCTGGGAAAACAAGAGAACAAATGCCAGTTTTCTCGCGTACACCAACTGTAGGAGCATCGAGGCTACCATTATCCATGAACAACTACGCTGGACTGGCCATGTTACCCACATGGGCGACAGTAAACTGCCAAAGCAGCTACTTTACAGCCACCCAACGAATAATAAACGTAACGCTGGCGGGCAACTGAAAAGATATAAGGATAGTCTTAAGACAAACCTGAAAAAGTGTCAAATCGACCCCTTCACCTGGGAGACGATCACTCTACACCGAAAGGCTTGGAGGAGCACCACACGAGAAGGTGTCAATACTTACGAGTTAGCCCGACTGCTTATCAAGGCAGACAAGCGCCAACACTGGAAAGACGCTGCCGCCGCCCCTCCCGCACTAGATGTAGTCTTCCACATGTGCAACATCTGTGAATGGCATTGCCGGTCCCGTCTAGGCCTCTTTAGTCACCTCAAAACTCACCAGTGAAGGTGACACATCTAATAACTCATATCATTGTATCATAGCTGGATGATCGTCATACTCGATTCCAAGTGACAGCAAAGTAGTAGTAGTAGTAGTAGTAGTAGTAGTAGTAGTAGTAGTAGTAGTAGTAGTAGTAGTTGTTGTATTAGGATATTTAATATTAAGGTAAATAAATGGTGGCGAAGGTGTGGCTATTGGGGAGGCTGGAGGCCACGTTATTTAAAAAAAAAAAAAAGATGTAGTTGTAGTAGTAGTATGTATGTATGTAATAACGGTTTATTGAAAGAACTTGGCAGCCAGAAGGCTGAAAATATACAAGTAACATAAGTGATATAAATAAGATATATAATAACTAGATGGGGAAAAGCTCAAACTACAGGGCATTTCAACATAGTGACAGTGCAAGAAGAAGTATTTACTGGGAGTGAATACACTGGTCTATTACAAGTTATTGATAATTTTTACAATGGTTGGGACTGGGCTGTTCTTATAGCGATCAGTTCGTGCACGTATGGGCTGGATGCGGTTGTGGTGTCTAACAGCAATTCTCGGGCTAGGGATCTCAGGTGGTAGTAGGAGCCGGTGTCGAGGATGGTGTATGTATGTATGTATGTATGTATGTATGTATGTATGTATGTGTGTGTGTGTGTGTGTGTGTGTGTGTGTGTGTGGATTCTATTCTATCATCCCCTTGTATCTTATATTTATTTACCATTTGAGTTATTGTGACTTTTAAAGAAGTATTTTTTAAGCTCTTAAGTTTAAAAAAAAAATGTTTTATCCAAAGGAGTTTCTTAAATAAAGCTTACTGTTATAGGAACCATTTTAAGCATTAATTGATGAGGTAATTACCTAATAGTTCCCTACAAGATACCCCCCTTAACGATCTTTCGAGGGGTAATAAGTCAACAGAAGTTTAAATGCCCAAAAATGCCTACAAGACACCTGCTTGGCTCCTTCAGTGTGTGAAAGATGCCAAGCTGAAATACCCCCCCAAGAATGCCCCCAGAATGCCCCCCCAACATGCAAGAAATGCCCCAAGGGCCCTTTAGAGAATGCCCCCAGATTGCCCCCAACATGCCCTAGAAGACACCTGCCCTAACACCTTAGCCACTGGCTCAGCCTTGTTGCGCAGCACGATTTTACATCAGCTGAAACTCTTTTTGTCTCTGGTACATCTCTCTTTACCCCTCCTTACCCCATTTTCCTTATCCCCTCCCCCACTTCTTTCTCCCTCCTCCCTCCTTTTCTCCCTCCTTCCTTCTTTCCTTCCCTCCTTCTTTCTCCCTTTTTTCCTCTTTACTTTTTACTCTTCCACTCTCCTTCGTTTTCTCCCCTTCTCTCCTTCGTTTTCCTCTCTCTCTTTCTCTCCTTCCTTCCTTCTTTCTCTCCCCTTCCCCTTTCGTTCTCTCCATCTCCCTCTCTCCTTTTTTCTCTCCCTACTTCCTTCCTTTTTCTTGTATCTTTAATTATCTTCTACTGCTTCTTCTACCATTTTTTGTTATCTTCTCTTATTTCTCCTTCTCTCTTTCGTTATCTCCTCCAATTTCTCCTTCTCCCATTCGTCATCTTATCTAACTATATCTTCTCTCTTTCATTACCTCCTCACTCTGTCTCTCTCTCTCTCTCTCTTTCGTTATCTTCTCCCCTTATGTTTCGTTATCTCACGTTACTTTTGCTTGCCACTTCCCTATATGTCGCCACCTCATTCTCTTTCCTCATCACCTGCCAACCTTTTTTGTGCTCTCTTTCCACCTCCTCCTCTACCTCCTCCTCTTCTACCTCCTCATCCTCCCCCTCCCTTCATCCCCTACTTCGTCTCATCCACTCATCCCCCTTCTACTACCTCTCTCTACCATCCTCATCCCTTTCCTCCTTCTTACCTTACCTCCTTCCCCCACGCCCCCCCTCTCATCCCTTCCTTTTGCCCCCCCTCTATTACTTCCTCTCTTGCCTCCCATTCCCCTCCCTCCCCGTATCCCCGAAGGTCTCCCGTCATGAAGTGCATGACGATGTGGCCAAGAGTGAAAGGATTGGTTGGATGCGCCAAGCGGGGGCGGTTCAAGCGGGCTGGTGTATATAAGAGGGTCAGGCCAGGGTGCACAACACATACCTTCCGACCTCGCCAACCCAGCAACATGTTGTCGGTAAGTCTTCTTCGTCGTCGTCGCCTTCTTTAGTAGCAGAGGATTCAGGTTACAGGCTCCGATTTTGTAGTTAGATTTAATTAACAGGTGTACATTTAGAAGGTGTTCAGTACCTTTTATTTAGTGAGTTCAGATTACAGGCTCCGATTTTGTAGTTAGATTTAATTAACAGGTGTACATTTAGAAGGTGTTCAGTACCTTTCATTTAGTGAGTTCAGATTACAGGCTCAGATTTTGTAGTTAGATTTAATTAACAGGTGTACATTTAGAAGGTGTTCAGTACCTTTCATTTAGTGAGTTCAGATTACAGGCTCCGATTTTGTAGTTAGATTTAATTAACAGGTGTACATTTAGAAGGTGTTCAGTACCTTTCATTTAGTGAGTTCAGATTACAGGCTCCGATTTTGTAGTTAGATTTAATTAACAGGTGTACATTTAGAAGGTGTTCAGTACCTTTCATTTAGTGAGTTCAGATTACAGGCTCCGATTTTGTAGTTAGATTTAATTAACAGGTGTACAGTCAAAAGATACAGTAATTTCCATGTAGTGAAAATCAGATTACAAACATCAGTAACGTAATAATAGACTCATATATTTTCTTCAAGTACAAACACACGTACAGTGAAACCTCCTTGTAACGTACTTTATATATATAATCCGTCGGGGGGCTATAGGTTCTTTATGTACTATTATTACAGTATAGTACCATAATTCTTGAAGTTTTCTAGTTATCTGTGGGTTTTCTAGATTAGTTCTTAGATTTAGTTATTAATCTAGAGTATTATTTTTTTTTGCCTCTTTCTCGTATCCAAATCGAGGTTATTAATAGTCTTGTAATGTGTAAGTATGATGCTAAGTGTATCTCCAGGTAATGGTTTATCGTAGAGTCAGAGGTCAGGTAGAATAATTAGCTACACATCTGGTATGGGATAATGTGTTGTTACCGTTGTCTGTGGGAGTTAAAATCCTTCGTTTTTTCTTTTGGTCTTTTGTGAAATTTTCCCAAAGTAAAGTTTATATATATTTTGTTTCTATTGTGTAAGAGGTTCAGTCTGTCTACTTCATGTTTAATATTATAGCACACACACACACACACACACACACACACACACACACACACTATACATACAGAACGAGAACGCTGATTGTACTCATTTTTCTCACCTCCACAACACACACAGTTATAAATTACACCTAGTAACTCGAAGTGTGTGTTTCTTCCTCCTGCAGAAGGTGGTGCTGTGTACACTGGCCGTCGTGGTGGCGTCTGTGCCACAGTACGGTCAAGCACCATCTACTTCTTACGGTACTCCGAGTAGAGGCAGTGGAGGTGGAGGTGGAGGTGGTCCAGGTGGGGGAGGTTTTAGGGGCTCGTCCGGGTCAGGATTTAGAGGGCCGACGCAAGGAGGTGTAGGAGGGGTGTCTGGAGGCTCTCAAGGTGGTGGAGTTCCTGGTAGTGGAAGCTATAGAGGTGGAGCAGGAACTGGAGGTATCGGGGGTGGAGCAGGAACTGGAGGCTTCGGAGGTGGAGCAGGAACTGGAGGCTTCGGAGGCGGAGCAGGAACTAGAGGCTTCGGTGGTGGTGCAGGAACTGGAGGCTTCGGAGGTGGAGCAGGAACTGGAGGCTTCGGGGGTGGTGCAGGAAGTGGAGGCGTCGGGGGTGGATCAAGAAGTGGAAGCATCGGAGGTGGAGCAGGTAGTGGAAGTGGAGGATACGGAGGTGGATCAAGAAGTGGAGGCTTCGGGGGTGGTGCAGGAAGTGGAGGCTTCGGAGGTGGAACAGGAAGTGGGAGCATCGGAGGTGGAGCAGGAAGTGGAGGCTTCGGGGGTGGTGCAGGAAGTGGAGGCTTCGGAGGGGGAGCAGGAAGTGGAGGCTTCGGGGGTGCAGCAAGTGGAAGCTCTGCTAGGGGAAGCTACCAACCTTCAGGTCCTGTAGTCCCCATCCTGAGAGACGAGCGTCAGGGACCTGATGAGTTCGGCAACTACAACTTCGAGTTCGAGACTGGTGACGGCATCAGTCGTCATGAGCAGGGCGCCCCCCAGGGGGAGACTGGCGCCGTGGCGTCTGAGGGAGGATGGTCGTGAGTAACCAATAACAACACACAATGACGTAGAGATGAAATATATTTTTTGTTGATAGTTTGAAACTTTTAGCTGTTGGTGATGAAGCTAATTATAATATTATGGGTTGCAGGTTTACGTTCCCTGATGGAACTCCCGCTGACTTCAACTTCGTAGCAGACGAGTACGGCTACCGCGTGGAGTCTGACCTGCTGCCCACGCCCCCGCCCCTCCCCGCCCACGCCATCGCCCAGATCGAGAAGGCTCGTCAGGAGGACGCCGCCGCGGCTGCTTCAGGTGGACGTGGATCATATGGAGGCTCAACTGGCGGAGGCTTCGGAGGGTCAACTGGCGGAGGCTTCGGAGGCTCAACTGGTGGAAGCTCAACTGGTGGAGGCTTCGGAGGTTCAACTGGTGGAGGCTTCAGAGGCTCAACTGGTGGAGGCTTCGGAGGCTCATCTGGTGGAGGCTTCGGAGGCTCAACTGGTGGAGGCTTCGGAGGCTCAACTGGTGGAGGCTTCGGTGGATCATCGAGCGGCGCTGGGGCCTCATCAGGTGGAGGCTTTGGAGGCTCTTCAGTTGGAGGTGCATCTGCTGGGGGTTATGGAGGGTCTGGTAGTGCAGGAGGTTCATCTGGAGGCTTCGGCGGCTCAACTGGAGGAAGCTTCGGAGGTTCACCCGGTGGAGGCTTCGGAGGCTCAACTGGTGGAGGCTTCGGAGGCTCAAGTGGTGGAGGCTTCGGGGGCTCAGCTGGTGGAAGCTTCGGAGGCTCATCTGGTGGAGGCTTCGGAGGCTCTGGTGCGGCCAGCGCCCCTCGTCCTCAGACTCCCAGCAGGACCTACGGCGCCCCTTGAGTCTCATCATCCTATAACTGTTGACATGAATCTCTAAGACTCCTACCATGAAGTCCTTCAGCACATATCCTTTCTCACTTTAGGTATCCTTCAGTTGTGTTGGTCACATCCTGCTGGGTCTTCCTCCTCCCACCACTGTCATGTCAACACAGCCTCATGTTACCCCGAGGCTCTGTTTACCTTCCCGGATATATCCGCCATACGCTTATTAGTTGTACTTTTATATATGATATAAATATATTATTTTAAACTGACATATTAAAAATGAATTTCCGTGATACCTTATTAACAAAACGGTAATAGGGGAAATACCAAGTAGGATAAGTCTGAAAATAGAAGAATATTTCCTGTCTGTATTATCTGGATGATAGTTTGTAGGTAAAGTATCGAGCGGAATGATTCGATCTAGTGTACGTAATGGTCTATAATTACGCCATCTACACCACCAATGACACCTGTATGGTAGTTAGAGTACAGCAGTCAGTGGCGGAGACCATTTTTCTTTCCTTTGTGCCCTTTTCTGTATACCTCTGGGCTAGTTAGGTATACCCTCACTGTAGGATCAGGTTATACTTGTCACTGTAGGATCAGGTTATACTTGTCACTGTAGGATCAGGTTATACTTGTCATTGTAGGATCAGGTTGTACTTGTCACTGTAGGATCAGGTTATACTTGTCATTGTAGGATCAGGTTGTACTTGTCACTGTAGGATCAGGTTATACTTGTCATTGTAGGATCAGGTTATACTTGTCATTGTAGGATCAGGTTATACTTGACACTCTAGGATCAGGTTGTACTTGTCACTGTAGGATCAGGTTATACTTGACACTGTAGGATCAGGTTATACTTGACACTGTAGGATCAGGTTATACTTGACACTCTAGGATCAGGTTATACTTGACACTGTAGGATCAGGTTATACTTGTCACTGTAGGATCAGGTTATACTTGTCACTGTAGGCCAAATGGTTAATAGTAATTAAGGTATAATGTTTGGTCTTGAGGCACCAAAGAGTTACTCAACATTACACACTGGAAATGATATAACCACGAGTAGGTAAATAGAGAAATAGAACTAAATATACATAATTGTTTTAACCCCTTGTGTACGGGGGTTGGGTGGTGGGGGTACTCTAAATAAAATGTTAAAAGTGGTCTCCCGTAGTGAAGGGGTAATTTGATAACAAAACACCTAAGGAAAAGAAACGTTAATGTACGTAATGTAATGATGTTAACTGAAGGAGAACATCCATTACATTCCCTGCAACTCTTTTAATTATTTGTTTTTTCTTCGCCGCGTGATAGAGAAGAGGTTGTGGGCTGTTTACGGTGCCGTCTTCAGATGGGTGAAGAGTAACCTGGTCTGGATTTACGATAGGTTTGGTCAGCACCTTGGAGATGTAAGATGAGAATATATGGTTTGACTTTGTAATAAGAGGAGGTTGTGTTAATTACTTATTTATGTGAAGTGGATGAAGAGATGGGAGATAGAAAGATAAGTACAATAATGAATGACAGACACACATAGGTCATTCCGATTAAAGGGATGATCTATACAGTATAGTAAGTCTAGCATATAAATAATAATAAATAATAATAATAATAAACGGTTTATTGAAAAAGTTTGCAGTTCGAAGGCTGAAAATATACATTGGACATAAATGACTTATTACATACATTGGTGGTTTAACAAAAGCCTTCATTAGAGAGAGGTGAAGGAACATACAGTGAACATACAGATTAATGTTTACACACGTAGATCATGTGAGCTAAGGTGTTGAACAGCAGACACGTAGTGTAGTAACTCCCTCACAGATGGCGTCGCCCTCATGGTGGTGCGGTAGAGAAGATAAAACATAACACCTGGGCAGCATATCAAGGTGTTCTATCTGGTGAAACACTCAGTCATGTCAGTCTCTCCACCATCACCAGTCACACCAGTCTCGCCACCATCACCAGTCAGGGACCAATTGACTGTCACACCAAATCTTGTGACCTCAACACTTCCAGTTATGAATCAAACATCTTCTTACTTATGAAATTAAACTCTTTTATTTACTACATATACCTGTCGTTGTTTGTCCTCTGTAATAGTGTAAACATCCTTGTTGACGCAGTGTACGGCAACCAAACAACACACACAAACGTTACAGTGTGAAAAATACACAAGTGAACCCATTACGTCAGTCAATGGACCTGTACAGTATATCACAGACAGGTTGAGGTGAAGGAGGTGTAATTCTCTCATTTTCTGGATGGTTGAAAACCTGGAGTTTTATACTACTAGTACTAGCTCACATGACCAGGAGGTGAGGTTATGGTTATACTACTAGTACTAGTACTAGTTCACATGACCAGGAGGTGAGGTTATGGTTATACTACTAGTACTAGCTCACATGACCAGGAGGTGAGGTTATGGTTATACTACTAGTACTAGTTCACATGACCCGGAGGTGAGGTTATGGTTATACTACTAGTACTAGTTCACATGACCAGGAGGTGAGGTTATGGTTATACTACTAGTACTAGTTCACATGACAAGGGGATGAAGTTATGGTTATACACTAGTACTAGCTCACATGACCAGGAGGTGAGGTTTATGGTAAGACTACTAGTACTAGTTCACACTGGAAAACAAACACCATCTCCTCAGTGCATTCGAATATGGGAACGCTAGTATCTTATACCAGTAGGATAACCACTACAGCACCGCACATAATGGTGAAATAGTTAAGAGTGATGACTGTATATAAAGAGTCTACTGATGTCTACTCGTGACTGGTTGTAATAAGTGTATTTCCACCATCTGGTTCCACACTGTTCTCTCTCTTGTACTGCACCTCCCGACCATCACAGTGAGATAACCGGTTTGACCTGAGACACCCACTGTATACAACTATTTCTTGGCTCTTATAATTATGACAGAGCTGAGAAATATTTGACCCATAAAGATAGTTATATCTCACTGTTTTGAAAAGTTTGTTGTGGTAATCTTATTTATATTGTGTTGGGTGATGAATAACTCAGAGTCAGGTGTTACAGGTAGTATATTCATTAAGATTTATTCACCTTATACAAGTTTATCGATATATAACAATAGTGTCCGAGATAAAGGAGATTTATTTCATTTATTTACTTCAGACTATTATTATTTGTGGAGTGTAAAGTGAAATTATATAACATTAATGATTTGGAACTTGACTGTATAGGTTAAGAGACGCAATTTTGAACGATAAATTTTTCAAAAACACACTACTAATATTGCTGCCTCTTGTGTTTTCTATTTCGTAGTTCGCTTTAATTTTATCCACATTAAATATATTGTTCACGTGTGTGTGTGGCTCTCAATGGTATGGCCCCACGACCTCCCAGAAGGTGATATATAAAAACTCTCTTCTGGCCTGACTCAAGCCTTCAACTGGATCCGTTTTCTTTGAGTGTTTTACCTTCAGGGTCGTGATGGTCTGGGCTGGTCGGGCGGGTATATAAGCGTCGGGTCACATGAGAAACTCCACACTCACTCTCGATTGTCTTTCAGGCCAACATGATCTCGGTAAGAGCACCACTTACAAACTTATATTCTCAGCGTTGATAAAAGAAACAAAGTACTTTAGAATAACGATAAATCTCTTTTAATGTGTTTTACTGTTTATCTTCCACAACTATATTACATTTGGCCAAAATAATTCAAGAAAAAAATATGCTTCTAAGAGTTATTCAAGTAATATACAGTAAAGTCAGTTTCACCTGGCAATAGAGATTCATAACGTGAAATTGTCCTTTAACCATCTATAGTAAATGTTCTTATTAACTTGAGCGTCCACGCCATCGTTCTTCACGAGCCATATTTCGTTGTTTACTGATTCAACTACTGAAGTCTCTAACTCATGTAATCATTGTTCACAAAACTAAATGCGGATTGAGAGAACTGAGGCCATGGAAGTTTGATGTTTGATAGCTGACTGAATTAAAAGACATTCGAATTCTTATTGTAAGTTTCCAAAAAGGAATTGAATTTAAGAATTGTTTTAGGTTTTTCTTTTAAAAAAAATTTAAAACTTCTCGACTCTTTATTGTACTGGTGGACGACGTGAAGGTTTTCTTGTGTTCAACAGAAGGCGGTGTTGTGTGCCTTGGTGGTGGTTGTGGGAGCCGCGAAGCTCCCATCTACCTCTTATGGTACACCAAGGAGAGGCAGCGGAGGTTCTTCTGTTGGAGGCTTCGGGGGTGGAGGCTTCGGGGGTGGAGCAGCAAGTGGAGGCTTCGGGGGTGGAGCAGGAAGTGGAGGCTTGGGTGGAGCAGTGGAGGCTTCGGGGGTGGAGCAGGAAGTGGAGGCTTCGCAGGTGGAGCAGGAAGTGGAGGCTTTGGAGGTGGAGCAGGAAGTGGAGGCTTTGGAGGTGGAGCAGGAAGTGGAGGCTTCGGAGGAGGAGCAGGAAGTGGAAGCTTCGGGGGCTCAGCCAGTGGAAGCTCTGCCAGGGGAAGCTACCAACCTTCAGGTCCCGTAGTCCCCATCCTGAAGGACGAGCGTCAGGGACCTGATGAGTTCGGCAACTACAACTTCGAGTTCGAGACTGGTGACGGCATCAGTCGTCATGAGCAGGGCGCCCCCCAGGGGGAGACTGGCGCCGTGGCGTCTCAGGGAGGATGGTCGTGAGTAACCAATAACAACACACAATGATGTAGAGATGAAATATATTTTTTGTTGATAGTTTGAAACTTTTAGCTGTTGGTGATGAAGCTAATTATAATATTATGGGTTGCAGGTTTACGTTCCCTGATGGAACTCCCGCTGACTTCAACTTCGTAGCAGACGAGTACGGCTACCGCGTGGAGTCTGACCTGCTGCCCACGCCCCCGCCCCTCCCCGCCCACGCCATCGCCCAGATCGAGAAGGCTCGTCTGGAGGACGCCGCCGCGGCTGCTTCAGGTGGACGTGGATCATATGGAGGCTCAACTGGCGGAGGCTTCGGAGGCTCGACTGGTGGAGGCTTCGGAGGCTCAACTGGTGGAAGTTTCGGAGGATCAACTGGTGGAGGCTTTGGAGGATCAACTGGTGGAGGCTTTGGAGGATCAACTGGTGGAGGCTTCGGAGGCTCAACTGGTGGAGGCTTTGGAGGATCAACTGGTGGAGGCTTCGGAGGCTCAACTGGTGGAGGCTTTGGAGGCTCAACTGGTGGAGGCTTCGGAGGCTCAACTGGTGGAGGCTTCGGAGGCTCAACTGGTGGAGGCTTCGGAGGCTCAACTGGTGGAGGTTTCGGAGGATCAACTGGTGGAGGTTTCGGAGGTTCTGGTGGAGACTTTGGGGGTGCAGGAGCGGGTAGCGCCCCTCGTCCTCAGGCTCCCAGCAGGACTTATGGCCTCCCTTAACCATCACCAGACTGTAACTAGACAGAACTCTATAAGACTCATACCATGTTGTCCTTCATCGTGGATCCTCCTATAACTATTGATTTACAGTTGTGTTGGTCACCTCCTCTCGGGCCTTCCTACTACCAGAGCCTCGTCATTACTCACAGGCTCTGGTTCTCGGGCCTTCCTCCTACCAGACCCTCGTCATTACTCACAGGCTCTGGTTCTCGGGCCTTCCTCTTACCAGACCCTCGTTATGACTCACAGGCTCTGGTTCTCGGGCCTTCCTCCTACCAGAGCCTCGTCATTACTCACATGCTCTGGTTCTCTTACCCATACGCTTATTAATTGTACCTTTATACAGATGATCAAAATATATGAATTAAAACATAAAGAGTATTTAAGAATTTTCACTACACCAAGTACCAAAACGATGAAATAAATAAAAATACTTATACATGAACTACAGGATAATGAATGATATATTTCACAGGATGATTAGGATGACTAGTGCATAGAAATGTCTCAGATATGATTCATCTTGTAGTGTAGAATAAGATACCTATAAGAAAACTCATAGAAACACATATAATGGAGATAAGAATGAAGAATGGATAAAGTCTTTGAGAATGTAAGACTTAGATGGAAGAAAGAGTAATATGCTTGATGTAATACTGATAATGTTAGGTTATATCTCTCACATTCATTCCCACAAACAACATCTTTGCTTGTACTGGAGGTAGACATGAGGAGGTAGACATGATATAGTGTCTTGTAAAGGCTACCATTACCACCATGACAGATATACATGTATTCATAGAGTCTTGTTTTGGTATATTATGGATGAGAAAGATATACTTGTATGTTTGTATGTCCATCACGACTCTGAAGGCGAAACACTCAGAGAAAACGGATTCAGTTGAAGGTTTGTGTCAGGTTAACACGGTGTTCCCACATATCATCACCAGAGAGGTTCTGATGCTGTACCACTTAGAGCCACACAAGGGTACAATATATTTAGTGTGGATTAATGTTAAATCATAAACATAAGGTACTAGAGACAGCCATAATGGACAGTGTGTTATTGAATATTATATCTTTTAAAATTATGTTACTTAACCTATACAGTCAAGTTCCAATTAATTAATGTTTATATAATTTCACTTTACACTCCACAAATAATAATAGTCTGAAGTAAATAAATGAAATAAATCTCCTTTATCTCGGACACTATTGTTATATATCGATAAACTTTTATAAGGTGAATAAATCTTAATGAATATACTACCTGTAACACCTGACTCTGAGTTAGTCATCACCCAACACAATATAAATAAGATTACCACAACAAGCTTTCCAAAACAGTGAGATATAACTATCTTTATGGGTCAAATATTTCTCAGCTCTGTCATAATTATAAGAGCCAAGAAATAGTTGTGTGCAGTGGGTGTCTCAGGTCAAACCGGTTATCTCACTGTGATGGTCGGGAGATGCAGTACAAGAGAGAGAACAGTGTGGAACCAGATGGTGGAAATACACTTATTACAACCAGTCACGAGTAGACATCAGTAGACTCTTTATATACACAGTCATCACCCTTAACTATTTCACCATTATGTGTGGTGGTGTAGTGGTTATCCTACTGGTATAAGATACTAGCGGTCCCATATTCGAATCCACTGAGGAGATGGTGTTTGTTTTCCAGTGTGAGCTAGTACTAGTAGTATAACCATAACTTCACCTCCTAGTCATGTGAACTAGTACTAGTATTATAACCATAACCTTACCTCCTGGTCATGTGAACTAGTACTAGTAGTATAACCATAACCTCACCTCCTGGTCATGTGAACTAGTACTAGTAGTATAACCATAACCTCACCTCCTGGTCATGTGACCTAGTACTAGTAGTATAACCATAACCTCACCTCCTGGTCATGTGAGCTAGTACTAGTAGTATAACCATAACCTCACCTCCTGGTCATGTGAGCTAGTACTAGTAGTGTAACCATAACCTCACCGCCTTGTCATGTGAGCTAGTACTAGTAGTATAACCATAACCTCACCTCCTGGTCATGTGAACTAGTACTAGTAGTATAACCATAACCTCACCTCCTGGTCATGTGAGCTAGTACTAGTAGTATAACCATAACCTCACCTCCTGGTCATGTGAGCTAGTACTAGTAGTATAACCATAACCTCACCGCCTTGTCATGTGAACTAGTACTCGTAGTATAACCATAACCTCACCTCCTGGTCATGTGAGCTAGTACTAGTAATGTAACCATAACCTCACCTCCTGGTCCAGTACTAGTAGTATAAACCATAACCTCACCTCCTGGTCATGTGAGCTAGTACTAGTAGTATAACCATAACCTACCGCCTTGTCATGTGAACCTCCCATAACCTCACCTCCTGGTCATGTGAGCTAGTACTAGTAATGTAACCATAACCTCACCTCCTGGTCATGTGAGCTAGTACTAGTAATGTAACCATAACCTCACCTCCTGGTCATGTGAGCTAGTACTAGTAGTATAACCATAACCTCACCGCCTTGTCATGTGAGCTAGTACTAGTAGTATAACCATAACCTCACCTCCTGGTCATGTGAACTAGTACTAGTAGTATAACCATAACCTCACCTCCTGGTCATTTGAGCTAGTACTAGTAGTATAACCATAACCTCACCTCCTGGTCATGTGAGCTAGTACTAGTAGTATAACCATAACCTCACCTCCTGGTCATGTGAGCTAGTACTAGTAATATAACCATAACCTCACCTCACCTCCTGGTCATGTGAGCTAGTACTAGTAGTATAAAACTCCAGGTTTTCAACCATCCAGAAAATGAGAGAATTACACCTCCTTCACCTCAACCTGTCTGTGATATACTGTACAGGTCCATTGACTGACGTAATGGGTTCACTTGTGTATTTTTCACACTAACGTTTGTGTGTGTTGTTTGGTTCCCGTACACTGCGTCAACAAGGATGTTTACACTATTACAGAGGACAAACAACGACAGGTATATGTAGTAAATAAAAAAGTTTTATTTCATAAGTAAGAAGATGTTTGATTCATAACTGGAAGTGTTGAGGTCACAAGACCTGGTGTGACAGTCAATTGGTCCCTGACTGGTGATGGTGGGGAGACTGGTGTGAGGGAGCCTGGTGTAACTGGTAATGGCTCAGTCTGGTACGTCATATCTTCACAAGTTTCATATCCCAAGTCCACATCAATAACAATGGAAGAATAACAATACATTTTCTCTCATAATTATAATATTAAGAAAGTTATCATTCGTCTGTAAATCTTCAAGTAACTTTAATAAACCCAATCTCTCTTTCCTACATTCTTTAATCCCTTCGTGTTATTCTATATCTTTCCAATTTCAATATAGTGGACATTCTTTATTCATTCACCTCCTTTATTCACCACAAGTTCAATATAGTCGTAATTCTTCCCTCATTCACCTTCATTCATCTCCATTTTATCTTCGTAATGCTGCGGTAATTTCTATCTTTTCTTCCACCATTAATCTGCGACTCCACCACAGTATATGATGAAACGGTCAGGTGTCATGGCTGGAAATGTTAAGCGTCTTCAGGTGTCTGGAAATGTTTGGCTGTAATAACGGGTTTGCCACACCTCTTTTACATCTCCCGCCCATAAGAGAGAGATAATGGGATTGAACTGAGCCATCCACTATGTAAAGCACAACCGTTTCTTTGTTCTCAGTGTCTTTCTTAGTGTGTGTTTCTCAGTGCATCTCTCAATGGCTTAGTATCTTTCTTAACATGTCTCACTCAGTGGTATAATTTCAGGACCTCCCGTAAGGTGATGTACAAGAACACTCAAGGTTTCATCTGGATCCGTTTTCTTGGTGTTTCACTTTCAGGGTCGTGATGGTCTGGGCTGGTCGGGCGGGTATATAAGCGTCGGGTCACCTGAAAAGCCTCACACTCACTCCCGATTGTCTTTCAGGCCAACATGATCTCGGTAAGAGCACCATTTTCTCACTGAATATATTTTCTGGTTCACCAAGAGTCTCCAGATGTAAAGATAATTGTTTTCCATTAAATGAATAACTAACTTCTGGACTTTCTTTGTTCTGAGAGACGATGTAAAGTTTTCTTGTGTTCAACAGAAGGCGGTGTTGTGTGCCTTGGTGGTGGTTGTGGGAGCCGCGGAGCTCCCATCTACCTCTTACGGCCCACCTAGGAGAGGCAGTGGAGGTTCTCCTGCTGGAGGCTTTGGGGGCGCACCTGGTGGGGGCTTCGGGGGTGCACCTGGTGGGGGTTTCGGAGGTGCACCTGGTGGGGGTTTCGGAGGTGCACCTGGTGGGGGTTTCGGAGGTGCACCTGGTAGTGGGGGCTTTGGGGGCGCACCTGGTAGTGGGGGCTTTAGGGGTGCAGGTAGCGGAGGTTTCGGAAGCTCGGCTACTGGAGGATTCGGAGGAGCTGGCGGAGGCTTTAGAGGCGCAGCGAGTGGAGGCTTCGGGGGTGCAGCAAGTGGAAGCTCTGCCAGGGGAAGCTACCAACCTTCAGGTCCTGTAGTCCCCATCCTGAGGGACGAGCGTCAGGGACCTGATGAGTTCGGCAACTACAACTTCGAGTTCGAGACTGGTGACGGCATCAGTCGTCATGAGCAGGGCGCCCCCCAGGGGGAGACTGGCGCCGTGGCGTCTCAGGGAGGATGGTCGTGAGTAACCAATAACAACACACAATGACGTAGAGATGAAATATATTTTTTGTTGATAGTTTGAAACTTTTAGCTGTTGGTGATGAAGCTAATTATAATATTATGGGTTGCAGGTTTACGTTCCCTGATGGAACTCCCGCTGACTTCAACTTCGTAGCAGACGAGTACGGCTACCGCGTGGAGTCTGACCTGCTGCCCACGCCCCCGCCCCTCCCCGCCCACGCCATCGCCCAGATCGAGAAGGCTCGTCAGGAGGACGCCGCCGCGGCTGCTTCAGGTGGACGTGGATCATATGGAGGCTCAACTGGCGGAGGCTTCGGAGGCTCAACTGGTGGAGGCTTCGGAGGCTCAACTGGTGGAGGCCATAGAGGTTCAACTGGTGGAGGCTGGAGGCTCAACTGGTGGAGGCTTCGGAGGTTCAACTGGTGGAGGCTTTGGAGGTTCAACTGGTGGAGGCTTCGGAGGCTCAACAGGCGGAGGTTTCGGAGGTTCAACTGGTGGAGGCTTTGGAGGTTCTACTGGCGGAGGCTTCGGAGGTTCATCTGGTGGAGGCTTCGGAGGCTCAACTGGCGGAGGCTTTGGAAGTTCAACTGGTGGAGGCTTCGGAGGCTCAACTGGCGGAGGCTTCGGAGGCTCAACTGGTGGAGGCTTTGGAGGCTCTGGTGCGGCCAGCGCCCCTCGTCCTCAGACTCCGAGCAGATTCTACGGCGCCCCTTGAGTCTCTTCATCCTATAACTGTTGACATGACTCTCTAAGACGCCTACCATGAAGTCCTTCAGCACAAATCCTTTCTCACTTTATGTATCCTTCAGTTGTGTTGGTAACATCCTGCTGGGTCTTCCTCCTCCCACCACTGTCATGTCAACACAGCCTCATGTTACCCCGAGGCTCTGTTTACCTTACCGGATATATCCACCATACGCTTATTACTTGTACTCTCTTACCTATGAAAGAAATATATTTTGCACAAATACGATGCTTCTGATGTTCATTCCACCTAACACCAATTATGAGAAAAATGTGATTTGATAAAAGCATATAAGCCAAAATATGTTTAAAACGTGTGTACCCAAGGGAGCCGCACTATTTATTGGAAATATTTTACGAGTCCGAGACATTTTTTTTTAGTTCTTAGGAGCAAGGTTCAGTTTATTTGTTTTGACCGAACTTGTCTAATACATTAAGACAAGTTCAGGCTTCTACCTGTATGACATGACTATTTATTGATATGCTTATTATAACAAAGTAAATATTGATTGAATATAAGGAAAGTAAACGGTTATTATATGGATTATATAATTACTATTGACTTTGTGATGTAATAAAACACTGAAAGACTCACTCGAACCTCGGTGGTAAGTCCTCCTTCAGTGATGGTGAGCAGGACAACCATTACACCTGGGCAGTGTAATAAGGTGTTGTACCTGGTGATGCTCTTAGGCTGTCAGTCACCACCAGTCTCATCACCACCACCACCAGTCTTACCAGTCTCATCACCACCATCACCAGTCACCACCAGTCTCATCACCACCATCACCAGTCTTACCAGTCTCATCACCACCACCACCAGTCTTACCAGTCTCATCACCGCCATCACCAGTCACCACCAGTCTCCCCTCACCATCACCAGTCACCACCAGTCTCATCACCACTATCACCAGTCACCACCAGTCTCCCCTCACCATCATCAGTCACCACCAGTCTCCCCTCACCATCACCAGTCATCACCCGGTCTCATCACCACCATCACCAGTCACCACCAGTCTCATCACCACCATCACCAGTCACCACCAGTCTCATCACCACCATCACCAGTCACCACCAGTCTCCTCCACCACCATCACAGTCACCACCAGTCTCCCTCACCAGTCACCACCAGTCTCCCCTCACCATCACCAGTCAGGGGACTAACTGAATATCACCTCAACGCTCCATTTATGAGATTAATAGTTTGTTACTTTATATAATTTTTCTGCTCTTCTACGTGATATTGATAATTTGTCTAGAAAATAATAAAACTACTTTCATTTTTTGCTTTTTAATCGTTTTGTTTTCCTTTGTTTTGTTCGTTTATTTATGTTCCTGAAAGACTTACACACTAGGCACCTTTACCTGGTCATAATTAGTCTTGATTTGTAAATAGTAATATACCTTCATTTGGAGATCCTTTTATCACCGGGAATGAACCTAACAGCCTCAAGGTCTAGAAACTTTTTGATTTGACATTTTTTCTTGATGTAAAATTACTTTCGTGGTAAGAAATATTTTGATGGGATTTTTTTGCTGTTATTGATGGGTGTTGTTGTGTGTTTGTCTGTCTTGTTTATTTGTCGTCAGAGTAAACATGGTGATTTATACCTAGAAGCATTGGGTTTTATATCTAGAAGTGTAAAAATAATAAGATTGCAGGGTCTTGTGCAACTATATCTTGCGCTAGTCAGGCCGCACCTCGATTATGCGGTTCAGTTCTGGTGCCCTATTATAGAATGGATATAAATTCACTAGAGTCAGTTGCAGCGAAGATTGACGAAAATGATTCGGGACTTAGAAGCCTTCCATATCAGGATAGGTTAAAGAAACTAAACTTGCATTCCTAGAAGACGAAGAGGTGTGGGGAGATATGATAGAAGTATTTAAGTGGGTGAAAGGAATCAATAAAGGAGATATAGATAAAGTTTTTATAATATCCGAAGGCAGGATAGGACTCGAACAACAGTTTAAGTTGGATAAGTTTAGGTTTAGGAGGGAGATAGGAAGGGAACTGGTTCACAAAATAAAATTGGTGGACGGAGTGGAACAAGCTTAACAACTTTGTAGTAAGAGATTAACAGACGCTGGAAAGTTTCAAAAGGAGACTGGATAGATTCATGGATGATAGAGAGTGGGTAGTAACTCTCTACAGGAGCTGCCATGCACAGGCCAGCCGGCCTATTACCCGAACTCCTTATTTTCTTATGTTCTAATGCAATGTTCACCTCACCTCACCTCACCTGTCATTTGTTCCTGAAAGTCGTCTATTATTCTCTAGAAATGAGGCGGAAAAGTGAGTATACATTCCCCACATCCCAGGATCCACACAGACACACACACACACACGCGCGCGCGCACACACACGCGCGCGCACACACCTACACACACACACACACACACACACACACACACACACACACACAGACACACACGCACGCAGACACACACACAAACACACACACACACACACACACACACACACACACACACACACACACACACACACACGTACGCCCGTCTAAAACGAACCATAACGATACATTTAACCTGTTTTACTTGTGAAGATTGAAGAGCTAAAATAAGAGTCATAAATACATTTCGAGTTATCATTTACGAAAGTTTTTGTTGTGGCGGGAAACTAAATGAGGCTGTGTTGGATGATGAATGACTCAAGATGAGGAGGTGTGTACTCTGAGCTGGTAGTACTGTCTAAGGTGTGTACTCTGAGCTGGTAGTACTGGCTAAGGTGTGTACTCTGAGCTGGTAGTACTTTTGGCTGGTCTGCGTACTCTGAGCTAAGTAGTACTGGTTAAGGTGTGTACTCTGAGCTGGTAGTATGGCTGGAGTGTGTGCTCTCTGGGCTTGTGGTGCTGGCTGAGTGTGTACTCTGAGCTGGTAGTACTGTCTAAGGTGTGTACTCTGAGCTGGTAGTACTGGCTAAGGTGTGTACTCTGAGCTGGTAGTACTGGCTAAGGTGTGTACTCTGAGCTGGTAGTACTGGCTAAGGTGTGTACTCTGAGCTGGTAGTACTGGCTAACAATGGTTAATGGTTCTGAGTAGTGTTCAGATAGACCAGAAAATAACTTCTTTTATTATCGAAAAAAAATATAGACTGAGTTTATAGAATACGAAGAAAAATATATAAACTTTTGATAAATAAGAATAATAAAATATAGAAGAAATAATAATAGGTAATAATTGAAGGTAATAAACAAAAGCTTGAATGATAGATTGAAATTATTAACCTATGGTATTGGAGAGATGAAAACAATATGTAAAAAGATCGGTAAAAAACATCCTCAAGTCGTTTGGTGAAGAGGGCTGTGGTCGCCATCCCTCAGAGATAATGATGGCCACTTGAAAGATTAATTAATGTTTAGTTATACAGTGAGAGATTTTGTTTGTTTATTTGTTTATTTATTTTGATGTCACTGTCAGTTTTTGGTCTGACTCCCTGGAACAGATACACATCGGGTCACCTGAAGATTAGGCACCCCAGCTTATTTCACCTGGAGATTAATCACCCTAATGGTAACCTCACCTAACCCAACCCAACCCCACCTCACCTCACCTCACCTCACCCATGTAGCGTCAGGGTGGTTAATCTTCAGGTGAAATAAATCTTGTGTATCAGTATTTTGTATTGTGAGAAATTTATTTTTGTCCAGCTGAATTATTTTAGTTTAGTTTAGTTTAGTTTAGTTTAGTTCAGTTTAGTTCAGTTGAGTTAATTTTAATTCAGTTCAGTTCAGTTTAGTTTGTTTAGGAAATACAAAAATAGGAATAAATTTATTTCCCCCTTTTTTTGTCTTTAAGAAAATAAATTTTAAGTTGTTATTGTTTGGTTTTATTTACAAGATTCGTATTTTTTTATATAGATGAAAAATAAGGAATTCCATCAATTTATTTCGAATTAAGACTCATTTTAAAACTTTCTCTCTCTCTCTCTCTCTCTCTCTCTCTCTCTCTCTCTCTCTCTCTCTCTCTCATCTGGCCTGGTTCAATTTTCCCTTCAACTGGATCCGTTTTCTTTGAGTGTTTCACCTTAGGGTCGTGATGGTCTGGGCTGGTCGGGCGGGTATATAAGCGTCGGGTCACTTGAGAAGCTCCACACTCACTCTCGATTGTCTTTCAGGCCAACATGATCTCGGTAAGAGCACCACTGGCTATATAAAGTACATATTCATAAGAGTTACTGTATTAAAGTTACAGGTATAAAAGTTACAGGTATAGAAGTACAGACCTCCCACGTCTTTCTTCCCCGGAACACTTTTGATTGGCTGTTACCTGACGTAATGATGAACTGATGTGTCACTGAAGATTGATAGAATGTAATAACAGAATAATTTTAGTTTATTAATAATATCATAATTGGCCATAGATTTGACATTTGTTTATTAAATTGTTAGATAGAGGCAAGTAAATGTGTATAGCAGGAGTATGTCCATATAATTCAACCAATCTTTTAATTTACTAGTCTTCCTATTCGTGTATGTGTTCTATTGGGTTCACAAACACAAATAGAATGAGTTAGTATTATGGAATTTACTATCGACTCTATTATTCTGAGAGAGGATGTAAAGTTTTCTTGTGTTCAACAGAAGGCGGTGTTGTGTGCCTTGGTGGTGGTTGTGGGAGCCGCGAAGCTCCCATCTACCTCTTATGGTACACCAAGGAGAGGCAGCGGAGGTTCTTCTGTGGAGGTTTCGGGGGTGCACCTGGTGGGGGCTTCGGGGGTGGGCAGCAGTGGAGGCTTCGGGGTGGAGCAGGAGGTGGAGGCTTCGGGGGTGGAGCAGCAAGTGGAGGCTTCGGAGGTGGAGCAGGAAGTGGAGGCTTTGGAGGTGGAGCAGGAAGTGGAGGCTTTGGAGGTGGAGCAGGAAGTGGAGGCTTCGGAGGAGGAGCAGGAAGTGGAAGCTTCGGGGGCTCAGCCAGTGGAAGCTCTGCCAGGGGAAGCTACCAACCTTCAGGTCCCGTAGTCCCCATCCTGAAGGACGAGCGTCAGGGACCTGATGAGTTCGGCAACTACAACTTCGAGTTCGAGACTGGTGACGGCATCAGTCGTCATGAGCAGGGCGCCCCCCAGGGGGAGACTGGCGCCGTGGCGTCTCAGGGAGGATGGTCGTGAACCAATAACAACACGTGACGTAGATGAAATATATTTTTGTTGATAGTTTAGAAACTTTTCTGGCTGTTGTTGGTGATGAAGCTAATTACTTATAATATGGGTTGCAGGTTTACGTTCCCTGATGGAACTCCCGCTGACTTCAACTTCGTAGCAGACGAGTACGGCTACCGCGTGGAGTCTGACCTGCTGCCCACGCCCCCGCCCCTCCCCGCCCACGCCATCGCCCAGATCGAGAAGGCTCGTCTGGAGGACGCCGCCGCGGCTGCTTCAGGTGGACGTGGATCATATGGAGGGTCAACTGGCGGAGGCTTCGGAGGCTCAACTGGTGGAGGCTTCGGAGGCTCAACTGGTGGAGGCCATAGAGGTTCAACTGGTGGAGGCTTCGGAGGCTCAACTGGCGGAGGCTTCGGAGGTTCAACTGGTGGAGGCTTCGGAGGCTCAACTGGTGGAGGCTTCGGAGGCTCAACTGGTGGAGGCCATAGAGGTTCAACTGGTGGAGGCTTCGGAGGCTCAACAGGCGGAGGTTTCGGAGGTTCAACTGGTGGAGGCTTTGGAGGTTCTACTGGCGGAGGCTTCGGAGGTTCATCTGGTGGAGGCTTCGGAGGCTCAACTGGCGGAGGCTTTGGAAGTTCAACTGGTGGAGGCTTCGGAGGCTCAACTGGCGGAGGCTTCGGAGGCTCAACTGGTGGAGGCTTTGGAGGCTCTGGTGCGGCCAGCGCCCCTCGTCCTCAGACTCCGAGCAGATTCTACGGCGCCCCTTGAGTCTCTTCATCCTATAACTGTTGACATGACTCTCTAAGACGCCTACCATGAAGTCCTTCAGCACAAATCCTTTCTCACTTTATGTATCCTTCAGTTGTGTTGGTAACATCCTGCTGGGTCTTCCTCCTCCCACCACTGTCATGTCAACACAGCCTCATGTTACCCCGAGGCTCTGTTTACCTTACCGGATATATCCACCATACGCTTATTACTTGTACTCTCTTACCTATGAAAGAAATATATTTTGCACAAATACGATGCTTCTGATGTTCATTCCACCTAACACCAATTATGAGAAAAATGTGATTTGATAAAAGCATATAAGCCAAAATATGTTTAAAACGTGTGTACCCAAGGGAGCCGCACTATTTATTGGAAATATTTTACGAGTCCGAGACATTTTTTTTTAGTTCTTAGGAGCAAGGTTCAGTTTATTTGTTTTGACCGAACTTGTCTAATACATTAAGACAAGTTCAGGCTTCTACCTGTATGACATGACTACTTTATTGATATGCTTATTATAACAAAGTAAATATTGATTGAATATAAGGAAAGTAAACGGTTATTATATGGATTATATAATTACTATTGACTTTGTGATGTAATAAAACACTGAAAGACTCACTCGAACTCAGAAGTGGTAAGTCCTCTTCGTGATGATGGTGAGCAGACAACCATACACCTGGGCAGTGTAATATAGTGTGCTGCCTGTGAACCACTCTTGGTCACCACCAGTCTCATCACCACCACCAGTCGCCTGATCTCATCACCACCATCACCAGTCACCACCAGTCTCATCACCACCATCCTGAAGTCTTACCAGTCTCCTGCACCATGCAGTCACCACCGAGTCTCATCACCACCATCACCAGTCACCACCAGTCTCATCACCACCATCACCAGTCTTACCAGTCTCATCACCACCACCACCAGTCTTACCAGTCTCATCACCGCCATCACCAGTCACCACCAGTCTCCCCTCACCATCACCAGTCACCACCAGTCTCATCACCACTATCACCAGTCACCACCAGTCTCCCCTCACCATCATCAGTCACCACCAGTCTCCCCTCACCATCACCAGTCATCACCAGTCAGGGACTAACTGAATATCACCTCAACGCTCCATTTATGAATTAATAGTTTTGTTACTTTATATAATTTTCTCTTCTACGTGATATTGATAATTTGTGTCCTAGAAAATATTAAAACTACTTTCATTTTTTTTGCTTTTAATCGTTTTGTTTTCCTTTATTTGTTCGTTTATTTATGTTCCTGAAAGACTTACACCTGGGGACATTTACCTGGTCATAATTAGTCTTGATTTGTGAATAATACCTTCATTTGAGTCTTTTATCACCGGGAATGAACCTAACAGCCTCAAGGTCTAGAAACTTTTGATTTGACATTTTTCTTGATGTAAAAAATTACTTTCGTGGTAAAGAAATATTTTGATGGGATTTTTTTTGCTGTTATTGATGGGTGTTGTTGTGTGTTTGTCTGTCTTGTTTATTTGTCGTCAGGTAAACATGGTGTTTTATACCTAGAAGTATTGGGTTTTATATCTAGAAGTGTAAGTAACAAGAGTGCAGAGGTCTTATTGCAACTATATCTTGCGCTAGTCAGGCCGCACCTCGATTATGGGTTCAGTTCTGGTGCCCCTATTATAGAATGGATATCAATTCACTAGAGTCGGTGCAGCGAAGAATGACGAAAATGATTCCGGGACTTAGAAACCTTCCATATTAGGATAGGTTAAAGAAACTTAACTTGCATTCCCTAGAAAGACGAAGAGTGCGGGGAGATATGATAGAAGTATTTAAGTGGGTGAAAGGAATCAATAAAGGGGCTATAGATAAAGTTCTTATAATATCCGAGCAGGATAGGACTCGGAGCAACGGATTTAAGTTGGATAATTTTAGGTTTAGGAGGGAGATAGGAAGGAATTGCTTCACAAATAGAGTGGTGGACGAGTGGAACAAGCTTAGCAACCTTGTAGTAATTGCTGGAACGCTGAAAAGTTTCAAAAGGAGACTGGATAGATTCATGGATGATAGAGAGTGGTAGTAACTCTCTACAGGAGCTGCCATGCACAGGCCAACCGGCCTATTGCAGACTCCTTATTTTCTTATGTTCTAATGCAATGTTCACCTCACCTCACCTCACCTCACCTCACCTGTCACTTGTTCCTGAAAGTCGTCTATTATTCTCTGAGAAATGAGGCGGAAAAGTGAGTATACATTCCCCACATCAAGATCCACACACACACACACACACACACACACACACGTACGTACGCACGTACGTCTAAAACGAACCATAACGATAAATTTAACCTGTTTTACTTGTTGTGAAGATTGAAGAGCTAAAATAAGAGTCATAAATACATTTCGAGTTATCATTTCCGAAAGTTTTTGTTGTGGCGGGAAACTAAATGAGGCTGTGTTGGATGATGAATGACTCAAGAGGAGGAGGTGTGTACTCTGAGCTGGTAGTACTGGCTAAGGTGTGTACTCTGAGCTTGTAGTACTGGCTAAGGTGCGTACTCTGAGCTTGTAGTACTGGCTAAGGTGTGTACTCTGAGCTGGTAGTACTGTTCTAAGGTGTGTACTCTGAGCTGGTAGTACTGGCTAAGGTGTGTACTCTGAGCTTGTAGTACTGGCTAAGGTGCGTACTCTGAGCTTGTAGTACTGGCTAAGGTGTGTACTCTGAGCTGGTAGTACTGTTCTAAGGTGTGTACTCTGAGCTGGTAGTACTGGCTAAGGTGCGTACTCTGAGCTGGTAGTACTGGCTAAGGTGTGTACTCTGAGCTGGTAGTACTGGCTAACAATGGTTAATGGTTCTGAGTCGTGTACAGATAGACCAGAAAATAACTTCTTTTATTATCGAAAAAAAATATAGACTGAGTTTATAGAATACGAAGAAAAATATATAAACTTTCGATAAATAAGGATAATAAAATATAGAAGAAATAATAATAGGTAATAATTGAAGGTAATAAACAAAAGCTTGAATGATAGATTGAAATTATTAACCTATGGTATTGGAGAGATGAAAACAATATGTAAAAAGATTGGTAAAAAAACATCCTCAAGTCGTTTGGTGAAGAGGGCTGTGGTCGCCATCCCTCAGAGATAATGATGGCCACTTGAAAGATTAATTAATGTTTAGTTATACAGTGAGAGATTTTGTTTGTTTATTTATCTTTATTTATTTTGATGTCACGGTCAGTTTTTGGTCTGACTCCCTGGAACAGATACACATCGGGTCACCTGAAGATTAGACACCCCAGCTTATTTCACCTGGAGATTAATCACCCTAATGGTAACCTAACCTAACCCAACCCCACCTCACCTCACCTCACCTCACCTCACCTCACCCATGTAGCGTCAGGGTGGTTAATCTTCAGGTGAAATAAATCTTGTGTATCAGTATTTTGTATTGTGAGAAATATATTTTTGTCCAGCTGAATTATTTTAGTTTAGTTTAGTTTAGTTTAGTTTAGTTTAGTTTAGTTTAGTTTAATTCAGTTCAGTTTAGTTTGTTTAGGAAATACTAAAATAGGAATAAATTTATTTCCCCCTTTTTTTGTCTTTAAGAAAATAAATTTTAAGTTGTTATTGTTTGGTTTTATTTACAAGATTCGTATTTTTTATATAGATGAAAAATAAGGAATTCCATCTACTTATTTCGAATTAAGACTCATTTTAAAACTCTCTCTCTCTCTCTCTCTCTCTCTCTCTCTCTCTCTCATCTGGCCTGGTTCAATTTTCCCTTCAACTGGATCCGTTTTCTTTGAGTGTTTCACCTTAGGGTCGTGATGGTCTGGGCTGGTCGGGCGGGTATATAAGCGTCGGGTCACTTGAGAAGCTCCACACTCACTCTCGATTGTCTTTCAGGCCAACATGATCTCGGTAAGAGCACCACTGGCTATATAAAGTACATATTTATATGAGTTACTGTATTAAAGTTACAGGTATAAAAGTTACAGGTATAGAAGTACAGATCTCCCACGTCTATCTTCCCCGGAACACTTTTGATTGGCTGTTACCTGACGTAATGATGAACTGATGTGTCACTGAAGATTGATAGAATGTAATAACAGAATAATTTTAGTTTATTAATAATATCATAATTGGCCATAGATTTGACATTTGTTTATTAAATTGTTAGATAGAGGCAAGTAAATGTGTATAGCAGGAGTATGTCCATATAATTCAACCAATCTTTTAATTTACTAGTCTTCCTATTCGTGCATGTGTTCTATTGGGTTCACAAACACAAATAGAATGAGTTAGTATTATGGAATTTACTATCGACTCTATTATTCTGAGAGAGGATGTAAAGTTTTCGTGTGTTCAACAGAAGGCGGTGTTGTGTGCCTTGGTGGTGGTTGTGGGAGCCGCGAAGCTCCCATCTACCTCTTATGGTACACCAAGGAGAGGCAGCGGAGGTTCTTCTGTTGGAGGCTTCGGGGGTGGAGCAGGAAGTGGAGGCTTCGGGGGTGGAGCAGCAAGTGGAGGCTTCGGGGGTGCACCTGGTGGGGTTTCGGGGGTGCACCTGGTGGGGGTTTCAGGGGGTGCACCTACTGGGGGAGCCTCGGGGGTGCACCTGGTAGTAGAGGCTTCGGAGGAGCAGGTAGTGGAGGTTTCGGAAGCTCGGCTCCTGGAGGATTCGGAGGAGGAGCTGGTGGAGGCTTCAGAGGCGCAGCGAGTGGAGGCTTCGGGGGTGCAGCAAGTGGAAGCTCTGCCAGGGGAAGCTACCAACCTTCAGGTCCTGTAGTCCCCATCCTGAGGGACGAGCGTCAGGGACCTGATGAGTTCGGCAACTACAGCTTCGAGTTCGAGACTGGTGACGGCATCAGTCGTCATGAGCAGGGCGCCCCCCAGGGGGAGACTGGCGCCGTGGCGTCTCAGGGAGGATGGTCGTGAGTAACCAATAACAACACACAATGACGTTGAGATGAAATATATTTTTTGTTGATAGTTTGAAACTTTTAGCTGTTGGTGATGAAGCTAATTATAATATTATGGGTTGCAGGTTTACGTTCCCTGATGGAACTCCAGCTGACTTCAACTTCGTAGCAGACGAGTACGGCTACCGCGTGGAGTCTGACCTGCTGCCCACGCCCCCGCCCCTCCCCGCCCACGCCATCGCCCAGATCGAGAAGGCTCGTCTGGAGGACGCCGCCGCGGCTGCTTCAGGTGGACGTGGATCATATGGAGGGTCAGCTGGCGGAGGCTTCGGAGGCTCAACTGGTGGAGGCTTTGGAGGCTCAACTGGTGGAGGCCATAGAGGTTCAACTGGTGGAGGCTTCGGAGGCTCAACTGGCGGAGGCTTCGGAGGTTCAACTGGTGGAGGCTTCGGAGGCTCAACTGGTGGAGGCTTCGGAGGCTCAACTGGTGGAGGCCATAGAGGTTCAACTGGTGGAGGCTTCGGAGGCTCAACAGGCGGAGGTTTCGGAGGTTCAACTGGTGGAGGCTTTGGAGGTTCTACTGGCGGAGGCTTCGGAGGTTCATCTGGTGGAGGCTTCGGAGGCTCAACTGGCGGAGGCTTTGGAAGTTCAACTGGTGGAGGCTTCGGAGGCTCAACTGGCGGAGGCTTCGGAGGCTCAACTGGTGGAGGCTTTGGAGGCTCTGGTGCGGCCAGCGCCCCTCGTCCTCAGACTCCGAGCAGATTCTACGGCGCCCCTTGAGTCTCTTCATCCTATAACTGTTGACATGACTCTCTAAGACGCCTACCATGAAGTCCTTCAGCACAAATCCTTTCTCACTTTATGTATCCTTCAGTTGTGTTGGTAACATCCTGCTGGGTCTTCCTCCTCCCACCACTGTCATGTCAACACAGCCTCATGTTACCCCGAGGCTCTGTTTACCTTACCGGATATATCCACCATACGCTTATTACTTGTACTCTCTTACCTATGAAAGAAATATATTTTGCACAAATACGATGCTTCTGATGTTCATTCCACCTAACACCAATTATGAGAAAAATGTGATTTGATAAAAGCATATAAGCCAAAATATGTTTAAAACGTGTGTACCCAAGGGAGCCGCACTATTTATTGGAAATATTTTACGAGTCCGAGACATTTTTTTTTAGTTCTTAGGAGCAAGGTTCAGTTTATTTGTTTTGACCGAACTTGTCTAATACATTAAGACAAGTTCAGGCTTCTACCTGTATGACATGACTACTTTATTGATATGCTTATTATAACAAAGTAAATATTGATTGAATATAAGGAAAGTAAACGGTTATTATATGGATTATATAATTACTATTGACTTTGTGATGTAATAAAACACTGAAAGACTCACTCGAACCTCGGTGGTAAGTCCTCCTTCAGTGATGGTGAGCAGGACAACCATTACACCTGGGCAGTGTAATAAGGTGTTGTACCTGGTGATGCTCTTAGGCTGTCAGTCACCACCAGTCTCATCACCACCACCACCAGTCTTACCAGTCTCATCACCACCATCACCAGTCACCACCAGTCTCATCACCACCATCACCAGTCTTACCAGTCTCATCACCACCACCACCAGTCTTACCAGTCTCATCACCGCCATCACCAGTCACCACCAGTCTCCCCTCACCATCACCAGTCACCACCAGTCTCATCACCACTATCACCAGTCACCACCAGTCTCCCCTCACCATCATCAGTCACCACCAGTCTCCCCTCACCATCACCAGTCATCACCAGTCAGGGCCTAACTGAATATCACCTCAACGCTCCATTTATGAATTAATAGTTTTGTTACTTTATATAATTTTCTCTTCTACCTGATATTGATAATTTGTGTTCTAGAAAATATTAAAACTACTTTCAGTTTTTTTTTGCTTTTAATCGTTTTGTTTTCCTTTGTTCGTTTATTTATGTTCCTGAAAGACTTACACCTGGGGACATTTACCTGGTCATAATTAGTCTTCATTTGTAAATAATACCTTCATTTGAGTCTTTTATCACCGGGAATGAACCTAACAGCCTCAAGGTCTAGAAACTTTTGATTTGACATTTTTCTTGATGTAAAAAATTACTTTCGTGGTAAAGAAATATTTTGATGTGATTTTTTTGCTGTTATTGATGGGTGTTGTTGTGTGTTTGTCTGTCTTGTTTATTTGTCGTCAGGTAAACATGGTGATTTATACCTAGAAGTATTGGGTTTTATATCTAGAAGTGTAAGTAATAAGAGTACAGAGGTCTTATTGCAACTATATCTTGCGCTAGTCAGGCCGCACCTCGATTATGCGGTTCAGTTCTGGTGCCCCTATTATAGAATGGATATAAATTCACTAGAGTCGGTGCAGCGAAGAATAACGAAAATGATTCTGGGACTTAGAAACCTTCCATATCTGGATAGGTTAAAGAAACTTAACTTGCATTCCCTAGAAAGACGAAGAGTGCGGGGAGATATGATAGAAGTATTTAAGTGGGTGAAAGGAATCAATAAAGGGGCTATAGATAAAGTTCTTATAATATCCGAGTAGGATAGGACTAGGAGCAACGGATTTAAGTTGGATAAGTTTAGGTTTAGGAGGGAGATAGGAAGGAACTGGTTCACAAATAAGGTGGTGGACGAGTGGAACAAGCTTAGCAACTTTGTAGTAAGTGCTGGAACGCTGGAAAGTTTCAAAAGGAGACTGGATAGATTCATGGATGATAGAGAGTGGTAGTAACTCTCTACAGGAGCTGCCATGCACAGGCCAACCGGCCTACTGCAGACTCCTTATTTCCTTATGTTCTAATGCAATGTTCACCTCACCTCACCTCACCTCACCTCACCTCACCTGTCACTTGTTCCTGAAAGTCGTCTATTATTCTCTGAGAAATGAGGCGGAAAAGTGAGTATACATTCCCCACATCAAGATCCACACACACACACACACACACACACACACACACACACACACACGTACACACGTCTAAAACGAACCATAACGATACATTTAACCTGTTTTACTTGTTGTGAAGATTGAAGAGCTAAAATAAGAGTCATAAATACATTTCGAGTTATCATTTACGAAAGTTTTTGTTCTGGCGGGATACTAAATGAGGCTGTGTTGGATGATGAATGACTCAAGAGGAGGAGGTGTGCACGAGCTGGTAGTACTGGCTGGGTGTGTACTCTGAGCTGGTAGTACTGGCTAAGGTGTGTACTCTGAGCTTGTAGTACTGGCTAAGGTGCGTACTCTGAGCTTGTAGTACTGGCTAAGGTGTGTACTCTGAGCTGGTAGTACTGTTCTAAGGTGTGTACTCTGAGCTGGTAGTACTGGCTAAGGTGCGTACTCTGAGCTGGTAGTACTGGCTAAGGTGTGTACTCTGAGCTGGTAGTACTGGCTAACAATGGTTAATGGTTCTGAGTCGTGTACAGATAGACCAGAAAATAACTTCTTTTATTATCGAAAAAAAATATAGACTGAGTTTATAGAATACGAAGAAAAATATATAAACTTTCGATAAATAAGGATAATAAAATATAGAAGAAATAATAATAGGTAATAATTGAAGGTAATAAACAAAAGCTTGAATGATAGATTGAAATTATTAACCTATGGTATTGGAGAGATGAAAACAATATGTAAAAAGATTGGTAAAAAAACATCCTCAAGTCGTTTGGTGAAGAGGGCTGTGGTCGCCATCCCTCAGAGATAATGATGGCCACTTGAAAGATTAATTAATGTTTAGTTATACAGTGAGAGATTTTGTTTGTTTATTTATCTTTATTTATTTTGATGTCACGGTCAGTTTTTGGTCTGACTCCCTGGAACAGATACACATCGGGTCACCTGAAGATTAGACACCCCAGCTTATTTCACCTGGAGATTAATCACCCTAATGGTAACCTAACCTAACCCAACCCCACCTCACCTCACCTCACCTCACCTCACCTCACCCATGTAGCGTCAGGGTGGTTAATCTTCAGGTGAAATAAATCTTGTGTATCAGTATTTTGTATTGTGAGAAATATATTTTTGTCCAGCTGAATTATTTTAGTTTAGTTTAGTTTAGTTTAGTTTAGTTTAGTTTAGTTTAGTTTAATTTAGTTCAGCTTAGGCTTGTTTAGGAAATACAAAAATAGGAATAAATTTATTTCCCCCTTTTTTTGTCTTTAAGAAAATAAATTTTAAGTTGTTATTGTTTGGTTTTATTTACAAGATTCGTATTTTTTTATATAGATGAAAAATAAGGAATTCCATCGATTTATTTCGAATTAAGACTCATTTTAAAACTTTATTCTCTCTCTCTCTCTCTCTCTCTCTCTCATCTGGCCTGGTTCAATTTTCCCTTCAACTGGATCCGTTTTCTCTGAGTGTTTCACCTTAGGGTCGTGATGGTCTGGGCTGGTCGGGCGGGTATATAAGCGTCGGGTCACTTGAGAAGCTCCACACTCACTCTCGATTGTCTTTCAAGCCAACATGATCTCGGTAAGAGCACCACTGGCTATATAAAGTACATATTCATAAGAGTTACTGTATTAAAGTTACAGGTATAAAAGTTACAGGTATAGAAGTACAGACCTCCCACGTCTTTCTTCCCCGGAACACTTTTGATTGGCTGTTACCTGACGTAATGATGAACTGATGTGTCACTGAAGATTGATAGAATGTAATAACAGAATAATTTTAGTTTATTAATAATATCATAATTGGCCATAGATTTGACATTTGTTTATTAAATTGTTAGATAGAGGCAAGTAAATGTGTATAGCAGGAGTATGTCCATATAATTCAACCAATCTTTTAATTTACTAGTCTTCGCTATTCGTGTATGTGTTCTATTGGGTTCACAAACACAATAGAATGAGTTAGTATTATGGAATTTACTATCGACTCTATTATTCTGAGAGAGGATGTAAAGTTTTC